TTGTTACGTTCTTAGTCTAGGCGTGTCTTGACACAGACGCAAAAAAAAAAAAAAAAAAAAAAAAAAAAAAAAAAAAAAAAAAAAAAAAAAAAAAAAAAATTCTCGTACTCGTGCTGCCCCGACATCTATCGCCGGGAGTAAGGGCGCCCTCGTTTGCGAGGTGCGCCTGCTGCTTGAGGCACAGGGAGGAGAGGGCGGGGCGGCGGGGGATTCTCTGGCTGGCTGGAGCTCGCAAAATAAAAGAAAAAAAAACAAAACAACAAACACGAAAACACCAGACATTATAATACAGACTTATAATTTGCACCGATGTTTTTTCGAAATTCTTATGCGAAAAGTGAGCGCGAGAGCCCTGGTGCCCTGCTGCTGCTAAGTCAAAGTAAACTTTATTGTCATCTCCGCTACATACAGTCCAGTATAGGGCTGCTCGATTATGGCAAAAATGATAATCACGATTATTTTCACTGAAATTGAGATCTCGATTATTTGACGATATTTATTTAACCCTTAAGACCTACTATAGAACCAAGTCCCCAGAGCTTATATTATTTTTTTTACATGTTGTAGTGCCATTTGTGGGAGCATTTCAAGTTGCTATACATCAATACAACTGTTATAGCCCATATTTTAATAATATGTATGCATTAAGTCCATAGTAATTACATAATTGCAAAAAAGTGCAATAAACTACAAAAAAATTGAAAATCGTTTTTGTTTTTTGTTTTTTACATATATTTCTACTTGGAGAAATTTAAGAGGTTTATCCCTCAAAACTTTAAATACAAAAAAGTTGCAAAAAATAGTTTACTCACACAAGGAAATTTATTTTGAGTGTCTTCATAGTTTTATTTTGGAATACACCAATTTATATATACAGCGAGGAAAAACGAAAAAACAAATCCTATGTGCAAATTTGCAAAGAAAACAGCATGGCATCAAAATAAACTATTTCCAGCAGTGCAATTCGAGTTCTAAGCATCCACAGAAACTATTCAGAAAAGTATAGAGTCAAACATGACTTATAAAAACACCAGTATAGGCAATTAAGGCCTACAACTAAAAAACTACATTTCCGCGAAAATGACGTCACTTCCGGTTTCGGGCAGGAAATGCCGCACATGTGATAGTTCGCGACTTCCAGTGTTGCCAACTTTGTCGCTATATTTAGCAAGTCTTCAGACCCGCTAAAAAAAAGACGTGAAAGCCCTTATTGCTTTTACTCTCAACAAGCAGCGGGTGCTGTAACGCAGTCAGTTACGTTCTTTACTCTTTTACTCTTATGCTGTTTTGTGGATCACAAGGTTTAAAACTACTTATAAACACACCAAACAGCAACAGTACCACATGAAGTCGCAACTATTCGACCGCTCAAACCCTTGCACGGTCAACGCCCCGGCGTACAGGCCAGCAGGTTGACCATAGTGCATTTAGGAACAAAACGAAATAAATCTGCTAAAAGACAACATCTTCCAATATTTTGTATTTCTAATAAATTCTAAAAAGCATTCTAGGAACCGCTTTCTTTTTACCTCACTATCATGTCCTCTACCCATTATGTTTATTTTCTCTCAATCACAAAAACATATTCTAAACACTATAGGAACAATTACGCAGCCCCATATTATGCAAACAAATTTGCAGATACTCACTCTACGCGACCTCTAGCCGACTTTCTAGAAACCTAAATAGCGGATTTCCTACGAGTACTGTTTTTCTGCAACGAGTGACATCCGTTCACTTGGAGAGTGTTCAAAACACAAATATCTGAAAAAAGCTACGCATCAGCATAAGCCTGGTTTCACCTAGAAATTAGTTTTTCCTGCAACGCTAGGCATTTGTTGTCGAAACACTTGATTAAAACCCACGTCAAGCTGATGGCAGAAATTGTAACTGATACACTCCCGTCAATAATGCAACCCCAAACACCATTATTGCGCGTATACTTACGCGTACCGCGTTCTTACAGGATTTAAAAATTGTTACCACCAAAACGGCTATCAGATCTCTCTTCGTATTGAATAATGACTTTAAAAAATAATATAAAAGAGTGTGCAACACCACTGAAGTTTTTTTTACCTCTCTTTTCAACCAAGGCAGTCACTCTCCTCTCCAAATAACTTCTGCTTAGCTCTCCGAGCTTCCCTCGGGTCCTCTTAATCAGCGGTCTCCACCCTTTTTTGCGCCACGGACCGGTTTATGCCCGACAATATTTTCACGGACCGGCCTTTAAGGTGTCGCGGATAAATGAGGGAGGGGCCAATAATCGGCTCAGTCATTTTTAATGATCGTTGAAAGCCCAGATCGTAATCGTGATTAAAATTCGATTAATTGAGCAGCCCTAGTCCAGTATATAGAGAGACGAGGCAACAAGGCTCCAGTTACAGCAGTGCAAGTAAACAAACAATACATATAAGAAGAGTAAGAAAATAAATATAAACTATAGGACTATGGGTAATTGGATCAATAACAATTTAAAATTTATATTTGATGGTTTAAAGTCTCACACACACTTTAGGACTAGTGGTAAAGGGATCAATAACAATTTAAAATTTACAGTTTGATGGTTTAAAGTCTCACACACAACCCGTCGAAAGTGGAGGGGGGCCCTGCTGCTTCCAAATAGAGCACATTTCATTTATAATGTAAATCCAAGCCCGTTATGTATTCATGATTTGAATCCTGGGTTGTGTGAAATCTCAGAAAAGCACCCTAGACAAAGTGAATCTGTGAACTAAGGTGTAAGTGTGATAGATTATGTTGTGGTGACCTTCGAGTTGGGGGATTTGTGTTCATACTGGAGTGCAAAATTAAAACCAATGGAAGATGGACAAGAAAAGTTCAAAGCCATCAGGTCCTCAGTTTAGAAAAAATAGAAAAGAAGAGGAGGAGAAACGAGCAAAAGATACAGGTATGCAGATGTGTCATTGGATAATGGCAGGTCATTCTGAAACAATCAGAATACTTTATTAATCCCTAAGGAAATTATGTGGGTTACAGTTGTCGATCCTACGTGCTGCACAATAATATTCAATATTTAGTATTTACTGTTATATTCACATAGATTATCGCAATGATGTTGTTTATTATATTGCTCTCTCTTTTTTTTTTTGCATGTTTTCTCTTTTTTCTTTCTCAACAGGTGATCCAGGTGATTGATATATGTATTTTTTGTCTGTTTGTTTTGTTGGTTTTTGGTTTTTGCCCTTTATCACCGTTCCTCTTCCCTGCTGCTTTTCTTTCCCTACCTCTCTTTCTTTCTCCCTTTTCTTTTCCCCAGTCATGTCTGTCCCATGTGTAGCAAGTGAAAATAAAATTAAAAAAAAAAAAAGATTTGATATTATAATCTGACTCTTAATCCCTAGAGTAGTGTGGCATGGAGAGGGCAGTGAAGAAGGGCGGGGGACACTATACATACATAAATCCACACAAGAGCAGTGCAATCTTATTTTAAATTACATAACGTCTCCTGGATAAAAGCCATCTGACTCAAATAGAGGAGCTTTACGTCTTTTTAGTCACTAAATTTTCAGGGGAATTGATTTATTTGACACGGGCATAATAACACTGCATTAAAACACACAGTTATGCACAAGCACCATATGCACTGCATCTAATTTACAACACCTGTCCTGAGGTGAGACAAAGGGAGCCATATATAAAAATATGAAACAGATATAAAAATAAAGCTCAAGTTGAATACAGAGTTATAGTGCGGGTGTGCTTTTTATTTCAGCCACAGTTTATTGCTTTTGTTGAAAACACTGAAACTGGTTTGCATTTTTATATCACAACCTTTGCTCTTTTAATGATGGTGAGACGAGATTTTGTGCATTGTGATGTGACAGTTACTGTTTATTGAGGCCTGTGTGCTGTTTGTACTGCAGTGCTGATGTCTGGACTCTAAAATATCCCTGAGTACTGAGGAAGCGTGGCATTGTATGTATTTTAAAATAATCCTTAGGTTGGCTTTTAAAGCTAAACATACTTTGTTTTCCTAAAAAATGAAAAGAAAAAAAAACAATGTATTTGTTCATTTTTAAATAACTTTTATTACCTGACCTTACAGTCATGTGATTGGTAGTTTTAGGTTATAGCAGGACTTTTCTGCACACATTATTCACGTCTTTCAAATCTTAGATGTGAGTCTAAGATGATTCCTAGTTCCCTGATAACTTAATTTCTTTTTTTTTCTTCCTTTTTCTTTTTTTTTTTTTTGCCATGAATGCTAATTTTTGGCATTGTTTACTTGTAGAAAAAGTAATTGAAAATATTTTTTATTTATTTATTTATTTTCACATCTTGTGTTAAATGAGAGAAAATTTAAATTAGAGTAAAATGTCAGTCATATATATGTAATCTCTGTAATATTCTGGATATTTATAAATGAGCAATTTGTATATTTTATAGCTATTTCTTATACTTTGTAACTTTGTAATATATTATATTTTTTAATCAAGTTCAGTCTGTTACTGTTCTTATTGTCTTGGAGCAACTGCAACTACATAATTTCCTTAGGGATTAATAAAGTATTCTGATTCTGGATTTAATGATTCACAGACCATAATGGATATGCACAAATAAATACAAACTTCAAAAAATAATAATTAAGGGAACACTGAGTCATCACAGTATAAGTCAGTTAAAGCTTCCTGGAGGTCATTTTGTAGGGCTCTGGCAGTCATCTTCCTCGTCCTCCTCATACAAAGGAGCAAATTCGGGTTATGCTGCTGTCTCTGCTGGGAGACAGAGCTAACCTTCTTGCAACAGCATGTTTAGATGTCATCCTGGAGGAGCTGGACTACCTTTACAAGCTGAATGGGCAACAG